ATCCTACGAAAGTTTTATCCTCAAACAAGTTGTTCAATAACCTAGATAGCACTTTAGCTGACAATATGAATAATGAAGGAGATAATGGATCTTCTTGCTTCACCACTCTTGTGGACTTGAAGAAACCTGAAGCTTGACCATTCTCCAATACTGAATACAAATTATTTGACACTAAGTTCCACACCATATTTATGAAATGCCCAGCAAGCCCGATATTCCTTAGAACATGTAGTAAATACTTCCAAGAGACTGTATCATAGTCCTTAGCCATATCCAGCTTAATCACAACATTAACTGGCTTAACTATCAATCTTATATCAATGACTATTTCTTGTGCGAGAAGTATATTCTCAAAAATACTCCTATCCTTCACAAATCTAGATTTATTAGGAGAGATCAAGGCATGTAGGAACTTCTCCAATCAATCATGGAGCACCCTAGATAGCACCTTGTTGATGAAGTTGCTCAAACTTATAGGTCTGAGGTTAGAAAATGTTTGCACCATAGGTTTCTTAGGTAACAACACCAAATTAATGTGTGTAATATACTTTAGCAGTGTAACACCTCCATAGAAATGTAGTACCATCCTGTTGTGTATCAGAGGAAATAATCTCCCAGCTGTCTTGATAAAATGTTCAAGTGAATCCATCTGGACCACTAACACTATCTCCACTCAGCTCAAACACTGCACCCTTGACCTTTTCTAGTGTTGGATATCTATAAAACTCCAGGTTTTGCTCCACAGTCACCATAGAAGGCATATTGTCAAGCAAGGAGAAGTCTATATGATCACCTTCTTTGGTAAACTGATTCTGGTAGAAGTCCACAACAGCAGCAGCTAATTGATCCGGATCATTAATCCAGTTCCCATCTCCATTTTTAATCTTCTTCAGTTTCAGCTTCTTCCTTTTTCCATTCACATGATTGTGAAAGAAGCTAGTATTTCTATCACCCTCAGCAAACTAAGGCATCCCAACTTTTTGCTTATAATATTGCTCCTCAATACTCAAGTACTTCTTCAATTCTGCCTGGGCCTATTTAAGCACTATTCTATTAGCAATTTCGCATCCTCATGAAGTACCACATTGAAGTCTCCACCTACCATCCAATTCCTATCCATATCACTTGCAAGATAATATAAGTTATCCCATAATTCCAACCTCTCAAGTGTTGAGCATTGCGCATAAATAAAGGTCTTCACGGCATGTTGCCAATGTCATGGTGAAACACTCTAATAGTCACCTGTTGTGCAGTTTCCATTACCAATTTCCATTCCACAGCCGTATAAAAAAATAACCAAATCTTCCCATTAATCTTTGATAAAGCAACTTCTATATTCAATCTTCTTCTATACCTTTGTATGTGCCTTGCATTCTGAAATGGTTCCAATAATGCAATGGAAAGAAAACTGTGCTCCCTTTGCATGTTGATCACCCTTGGAAAGTCTTGTTGAGTATTCACAAACCTTATATTCCAAATTAAAGTCTTGATCATCATTTAGACTGTGAGGCTGCCCTCCTGGGCAAAATTCTTATTGGTTGAGGTGGTTCTTTGTTTTGTGCTTGCCTTTTGCTTTTCTTACCTTCCTTAGCACTAGCTCCAGGAGATAAATCAGCCTGCCTTACCACTTGTTTGAAATTTTGAACTATTGGCTCATCATATCTTTCCTCCTCATATTATTGATGTTCCATTAGAGCTTTGCCATTCTCTATAGGAGCCACATTATGTTTTACTAGGTCATGTAAGGTCTGTAGAGGAGTCTTCAAAGGTACATTGATCTGAAGTTGCATAGTCTAACCAGTTCCTGATGCACAAGCTATTGGAATAGGCTCAATGTCACATGTTGTCTTTGGTACTATAGCCTTCTCATTCTTTCCTTTAGCCATTATGTTTTCATCCTCTATCACACTAGAATTGTGCTACATAGCTCCCAAAGCCTCCTGCATCACCCTAATTTGAAACTCATATACATTACCCACGCCAGGGTGTACTGTAGCAACCTGTGCAGAAGTTACTGTTCCATTTAGATCTGAGGTCTTGCCATAAGCTGTTTGATGGTTTGAACTCACTGTATCCTTTAAGACCTCAATATTAGCATTCCCAACCTGGCCAACACTCAAAATCCCCACTGGATCACCTCCAAAATTGTAAGACACATGGATAGTTACCCTAGGGTTTACTGTTCCATTGGTGTTCTTCTTGCTAGGTGACTCAACAGCTGATCCACCAGTGAATTTTGCTTGCCCTAATGATCCTTTATCACCTCTAGTTGGCGTCATTGCTAATTGCTTCTTATCTCGATCAAGATCCTCAACCTTAGTTTTTTGCAAACTAGGGTTTACTGTAGCACTAGTGTGAACTGTGTCTGCCTGTTCCACCTGTTTATTACCCTTTTGATCATTGATTTTGAGACTCTTATTTGTATCAAAATTGTCTTCCATAACTTATACTTCATCACTTCACAACGAGCTACCATTCTTAGTTGCTCCAGTTGACTCAATTCGCATAGGTGATTCAACAAATGTTTGTGAAGGTACCTCCTGACAGGAACAATTACGTGTAACATTGAGTGCCTCCTTTGGGGTGCCAAATCTTCTTTGTACCCAAACAACTGTTCTTTCTTTAGTAGCTACATTTCCTGTCCCTATGCCACTAGGGTTAGGGCTCCTTTCTTCTGCTGGATTTTCAAATCCATGTTCCTTGCTTTCCTCTGCCCTAATCCCTGTAGAAATAGGATTACTATTACCATCCTTAGCCACTACAGTAATCCTAGCTTCACTTGGATTGGAGCTGGAATTGGCAGCATTCCTCAACTACCTCTTCTCTTGTACCTTCTTGGCTTCCTTCTCCAGATGTTGCTTTTCTTTTTTCTTTACATCACCATTCCTTTTGCCATCAGTGATTATCCACGTTGGGTGTTCAATTTCTTCAACCTCTAAAGATTCAAATTTGTTCCTAGTTGCTAATACGTCTTCATTGGTTTTACCTTTCAATTTGTCATTTTCCTTCCCATTTGCATTATTGGTAATGTGACCTCTCTTATCTCTTTGATACGTATTCTGCCTTCATTACATCCTTTCTTGCTTTGCAGGATTAGGAATTAGTTTCCCAAGAAAGTTTCCACTTGTGAGCACCTTGGTGGTGTTAGCTGCAGTACCAACCAACTCTTTACCTATGATACCTTCATCAACTTCATCAAACTTCCTATGTAACTCAAGATGAATTACCTAGCAATCCAATTCTTTATGTCTTTGCGTCTTACAAGTTTTATAATATTTTGGCATGTAATCATATTTAATTTTGATCCACATAGATTCCTCCGGCCCTGACTCATCTTCCTCTTCTACTATTTTAATTCGTTGAGGAAATTTAGCGAACTAATTAACCTCAACCTTCACCTATGCACAACTAGGTCTAGTACATATTTGAGTAGGAAGATCAACATGTAATGGATTACCTACTGCCCTTGCCAGGGAGAAAACAAATTCCTTACCAAGAGTGTTGGAAGGCAACTCAGGAAAGCTTATCCAAGCTACTACAATAGGTGTTTCCTCCTCGGGCTTCCACCATGGATTCCACTTCGTGCACCTCATCTGCAACATATCTTCTTGTGCTTTCAAATAGAATGCATGCTTGGATAGGAGATGAACATAATCCTCCATTAACGACAACCTTATCAACACATGGTTGTCTTTAATTAAACCTATTGAACATATCCCTTTAAACTCACATTGAATGGGAATGACTTTACGTAGTTTATTGATCACATGCTTTCCATAAGAAAATTTTCCAAGAACTGCTAATTGTAAACCTTGTTGAATGATTGATTGCTTAACTTCTTGCTTCTTCCACTTGATAATAGTCTCACCATGAAGAAACTCGACTGGTTTGATAGGTATTTTGGCTAAGGTTTGCATGGCCGTATTTAATGTTTTGGGTTGCAATAATTGTGCATAGTTTTGGAGTAGATTAGGGTTGTTAGATGTTGTTTGGGGTTATGGGGATGGAAGAGATAACCGACCAACCTCCAATGGAGGCTGACCAGTGTTCGGTGAGACCATGGGAGAGGTAACGAAGCTTGTCGCCCAAAATCGCCAGAAAATTGCCTAAAATCACCTCTCTTGGGAGCTCTCAAGCGTGGTTTTTTTCTATGCAGCTTTTTACCTAAAGCTCTAGGCATTTGTTTCCTTCTATAACATGCCAAAAAGAGACGAAATGGTCCGGAATCGATCCAAAACTCACCCAAGCCACCTCGGCAGTGGAGGAGCTTCTGTCGTCGCAATCACCAGTCCATAGAGCTTCTCTCTCCTCATGCGTGGGTTTTCACGCGGTTTATTCCTAAAGCTCTAGGTATTTTTTCCTTCTATCACATGGAAAAAAGAGACAAAATGGTCCTGAATTGATCCAAAATTCATCTGATCCCCTCGAGACCCCGTCTGAACAAATGCTCAAAAATATTCCTCTTGTGTAGGTTCACAGCACCAACACCTAGAAACATATATGTACCCTTGCTTTTTCCATAGGTCATCAGTAACTAGTTAGCCCCTCCATAGTCTCCAAATAAAGAATGAAATCTTGAATGGCAACTCCTTAATCCATATTTGCTTGTATTCTGGATTAGGGTTTGCTCTATGTCTCACTATATGCCAAGCGCTACTCACTGTATACTTACCTAAAGAGGTAGGTTTCCACCAAGGTTTGTCCGAGTAGCTAGTGTTGCCTTCAAATGTTTCATTTTGTTTAATATGTTCATCTATATCTTCAGGAAAATTTGTCAATCAACACCTCATTCCAGCTAGCTTTTTGTCTCAATTCTGACACTTCTTGCAAGTACTCATTGATGTAAAACTTAGGTGACACTAGATGATGCAATACCCCTAGGCCTGTCCAGTTTTCATGCCATACATTTGTTGTACCACTCATCATCTCACACAGTATCTCATGCTCCACATCTTAACTTGCATTCAACATCTGCCTCCACACATGAGACCTTCCCTAAACTACACTACTGTAGGAAGCTCTTTCTTGCGGTACTTGTTGCACATGAAGTTATACCACAATGATTTGGTTGTAATGATTCTCCACAAAAGTTTAGCAAACAAAGCTCTAGATACATTAAGTAGAGACCTGAAACCTAATCCACCTTCTTCCTTAGGAAGACACAACTTCTGCCAAAAAGCCCAATGCCTACTCCTGCCTTGCTCCTTTGTACACCAAAAGAATCTTGCAAAACTCTTGTGCAAGTGTTCAAGGATATTATCTGGAGGATCAAGCACTGATAATAGATGTACAACACACTTTGTAACACACTAGTTATAAGTGTTGCCTTGCATCCAAATGATAACAACTTACCTTTCGAATAGTATAACTTAGCTTTCACTTTCTTTATAAGATCATTATAGTAATCTTTTCTTCTTCTAGTGTATAAGATTGGGCACCCCAAGTAGGTGAAAGGAAACTCTCCTCTAGCAAAACCTATAGCATCTCTTCCTGCTTGAAACAATGAATTTGCAACATTGGCATGCATATAGTATGAACTGTTAGCTTTATTAATCAACTGTCTAGAAATCCTCTCATAGCTTCCCAATACTGCCATCACCTTCTTCAATGAGTCTGGATGAGCTGATTCAAAAATTATAGTATCATCAACATATGCCAAGTGATTCAATGGATTAGACCACTTTGGCATACCAAATCCTACAAAAGCTTTATCCTCAAACAATTTGTTCAAAGACCTAGATAGAACTTCAGATGACAATATGAACAATGCAGGAGATAATGGATCTCCTTGCTTCACCCCTCTTGTGGACTTGAAGAAACCTAAAGCCTGACCATTCGCCAATAACGAATACCAATTATTTGATACTAAGTTCCATACCATGTTAATGAAATGCTCAGCAAACCTCATCTTCCTTAGATCATGTAGAAAATACTTCCAAGAGACCTATCATAGGCCTTAGCCATATCCAGCTTAATCGCAACATTAGCTGGCTTAGCTCTCAATCTTATATCAGTGACTATTTCTTGTGTGAGAAGTATGTTCTCAAAAATACTCCTACCCTTCACAAATCTAGATTGATTAGTAGAGATTAAGGCAGGCAGGAACTTCTCCAATCTATCATGTAGCACCCTAGATAATACCTTGTTGATGAAGATGTTCAAACTTATAGGTCTAAGGTCAGAAAATGTTTGCACCATAGGTTTCTTAGGAAACAATACCAAATTAGTGTGTGTAATAGACTTTGGCAGTGTAGCACCTCTATAGAAATGTAGTACCATGCTGTGTATATCATAGCCAATAATATCCCAGCAGTCTTGATAAAGTGTTCCGCTGAATCCATCTGGACCACTAGCAACATCTCCACTCAGCTAAAACACTGCACCCTTGACCTCTTCTAGTGTTGGATATCTACAAAACTCCAGGTCTTGCTCCACAGTCACCATAGAAGGCATATTGTCAAGCAAGGAGAAGTCTTTAGGATCGTCTTCTTTGGTAAACTGATACTGGTAGAAGTCCACGACAGCAGCAACCAATTGATCCTGATCATCAATCCAGCCCCATCACCATTTTGAATCCTCTTCAGGTGCAGCTTCTTCCATTTGCCATTCACATGATTGTGAAAGAAGCTAGAATTTTTATCAACCTCAGCAAACCAAGTCATATTAGGTTTTTGCTTCCAATACTTCTCCACAATACTCTGAAGTACTTCTTCAATTCTGCCAGGTCCTGTTGAAGCACTATTCTATTAGCAATTGTTGGTTCCTCCTCAAATAGCATCTCCTTCACTTTTACAATTTCCTCCAAGATTTCTAACTACTTGAACATTTCACCATAAGTGACTTTACTCTATCTGTACATTGAAGCCTTCACATTCTTCAACTTGTGCTTGAACATGACAAAAGGATCACCAATGAAGTCTGCTTGCCAATTATGCCTCACCACCTCTTTAAAAGACTCATGTTTAGTCCAAAAGTTTAGTAACCTAAATGGTTTAATATAGTTGAAGACTGTTATCCATAACTCATGAACAAAGGGGCATGGTCAGAACCAGTTCTTATCAAAGTTTCAACCTCAATAGTAGGAAAACTATTCTAGAAAGGAAGATTTACAAATATCCTATCTAAACTCTTAAAAATACACTCAGCATTAGTTCTTCCATTCAACCAAGTGAAAGGACTCTCTTTGTAGCCTAGATCAAACAATCCACTTGAATTAACACAAAAGGAAAAGTCTTCAAACTCTGGAAGGTATACTGGAAGCCCACCAATCATTTCATCCTCATGAAGTACCACATTGAAGTCTCCACCTACCATCCAAGGCAAACCTATATCATTTGAAAGATAATATAAGTTATCCCACAATTCCAACCTCTCGAGTGTTGAGCATTTTTCATAAACAAAGGTGATCATGACATCTTTCCCAATAACATGGTGAAACACTCTAATAGTCACTTGTTGTGAAGTTTCCATTACCAATTACCATTCTATAACATCATAAAAAATAACCAAATCTTCCCATTAATATTTCAGAAAGCAACTTTCATATCCATTATTTTTCTATACCTTTGTATGTGCCTTGCATTCTAAAATGGTTCCAACAATGCAATGACAAGAAAAATATGCTTCCTTTGCATGTTGATCACCCTAGGAAAGGCTTGTTGAGTATTCACAGACCTTATGTTCCAAATTAAAGTCTTGATCATTATTTAGACTATGAGGCTAACCTCCCGGGTAAATTTCTTGTTGGTTGAAATGATTCATTGTTTTGTGCCTGCTTTTTTCTTTTCGTACTTCCCTCAGCACTAGCTCTAGGGGATAAGTCAGCCTCCCTTCCCACGTGTTTGAAATTTCCCATTGTTGACTCATCATCTCATTCATCCTCATATGGTTGTTGTTCCATTAGAGCTTTGTCAATCTCCACAGAAGCCACATTATGTGTTACTAGGTCATGCAAGGTCTGTAGAGGAGTCTTCAAAGGTACATTGATCTGAAGCTACATACTCTACCAAGTTCCTGATGCACAGGCCATTGGAATAGGCTCAATGTCACCTGTTGTCTTTGATACGATAGCCTGATCATTCTGTCCTTTAGTTATCATGTTTCCTCCTCTATCACACTAGAATAGTGCTCCATATCTCCCAAAGCCTCCTACATCACCCTAAATTGAATCTCATACACATTACCCAGGCTAAGGTTTACTGTAGCTACCTGTGTAGAAGTTACTTTTCCATTAAGATTTGAGGTCTTGCTATCATCTGTTTGATAGTTTGACCTTACTGTATCCTTTAAGACCTCAATATTAGCATTCCCAACCTAACCAACACTCAAACTCCCCACCAAATCACCTCCAGAATTGTCAAACACTTGAATAGTTTTCCAAGTGTTTACTGTTCCATTGGTGTTCTTCTTGCCAGATGACTCAAAAGCTGATCCTCCAGTGATTTTTTCTTCCTTTAATGATCCTTTATCAACTCCAGTTAGTTGCATTGCTAATTGCTTCTTATCTCGATCAAGATCCTCAACCTTAGTTTTTTGCAAACTAGGGTTTATTGTAGCACTAGTGTTAACTGTGTCTGCCTGTTCCACCTGTGTATTTCCCCTTTGATCATTGATTGCTGGACTCTTATTTGCATCAAAATTGTCTTCCATGACTTGTACTTTATCACTCCACAAAGAGCTACCATTCTTAGTTACTCCAGCTGACTCAATTCTCATAGGTGATTCATCAAATGTTTGTGAAGGCACCTCCTGACAAGAATGATTAAGTGTAAGATTGAGTGCCTCCTTTGGGGTGCCAAATCTTCTTTGTACCCAATTAACTGTTCTTTCTTTAGTAGCTACATTTCATGTCCCTATACCACTAGGGATATGGCTCATTTCTCCTGCTATATTTTCAAATCCATGTTCCTTACTTTCTGCAACCCTAATCCCTGTAGAAATAGGATTGGTATTTCCATCCTTAGCCGCTATAGTAAACCTAGCTTCACTTGGGTTGGATCTGGAATTTTCAGCATTCCTCAATTGCTTCTTCTCTTGTAACCTCTAAAGCATCAAAATTGTTCCTAGTTGTTACTATATCTTCATTGGTTTTACCTTTCAATTTGTCATCCTGCTTCTCCTTTGCATTATCAATAATGTGACCTCTCTTATATCTTTGATACTTATTCTATCTTTGTTGTATCCATTCTCGCTTTGCAGGTCTAGAAATTGGTTTCCCAAGAACTTTTCCACTTGTGAGCACCTTGGTGGAGTTAGCTGCAGTACCAACCAACTCTTTACCTTTGATACCTTAATCAACTTCATCAAACTTCCTATGTAGCTCAGAATGAATTAACCAACAATCAAATTCATTATGTCCTTGCTTCTTACAAGTCTTACAATATTTTGGCATGTAATCATATTTAATTTTGATCCACTTAGGTTCCTACGGCCCAGATTCATCTTCCCCTTCTACTATTTTAATTCGTTGAGGAAATATAGCGAACAAATTAACCTCAACCTTTATCTTTGAACAACTAGGTCTAGTACCATTTTGAGTATCAAGATCAACATGTAATGGATTACCTACTACCCTTGTCAAGGAGAAAAAAAATTCCATGCCAAAAACGTTGGGAGGCAACTCAGGAAAGTTGATCCAAGCTACTGCAATAAGTGTTTCCTCCTCGAGCTTCCACCATGGATTCCACTTCGATGCACCTCATCTGCTACATCTCTCCTTGTGCTTTCAAATAGAATGTAGGCTTAGATAGGAGATGAATATAATCCTCCATTACCGATAACCTTATCAACACATAGTTGTCTTCAATTAAACCTATTGAACATGATCCTTTAAGCTCACATTGAATGCGAATAACTTTACGTAGTTCATTGATCACAGGCTTCCCATAAGAAAATTTTTCAAGAACTTTTAATTGTAAACCTTGTTGAATGATTGATTGTTTAACTCCTTGCTTCTTCCACTTGATAATAGGATCACCATGAAGAAACTCGACTGGTTTGATAGGTATTTTGGCTAGGGTTTGCATGGCCGCATTTAATGCTTTGGGTTGTAATAATTGTGCATAGTTTTGGAGTGGATTAGGGTTGTTAGATGTTATTTGGGGTTGTGGGGATGGAAGAGACGACTGACCAACCTCCAATGGAGGCTGACCAGTATTCGGTGAGACCATTGTAGAGGCAATGAAGCTTGTTGCCCAAAATTGCCAGAAAATTTCCTAAACTCACCTCTCTAGGGAGCTCTCAAGCGCGGTATTTTGCTATGTAGCTTTTTACCTAAAGCTCTAGGAATTTGTTTCCTTCTATCACATGCCAAAAAAAGACGAAATGGTCCGGAATCAATCCGAAACTCACCCGAACCCCTTGAGACCCCGTTTGAACATGCTAACAAGTTCCAAAAATATAACGCGGACCTACCCGAGGCCTCAAATATCACATAACAACATCAAAATCATGAATCGCACCTCAAATCAAACTTTATGAACTTTTGAACTTTTTACTTCCAAAACGAGTGTTGAACCATATGAAATCAATCCGGAATGACCTCAAATTTCACACGCAAGTTCAAAATGATATAACGAACCTATTCTAACACCAAAACAATAATCCAAACCCGATATCATTAAGATAAACTCCCGGTCAAATTTATGAACTTTTCAAACCTTCAAATTGCCAATATTTACCAAATAGTGCTGAAACCTTCTAGAGACATCAAAATACAAATCCGGGCATACGCCCAAGACCAAAATCACCATCCGAACCTAAAAGAACCATCAAAACTCCTACCCGAGGTCAAATATACAAAAGTCAAACTTGATAAACTCTTCGAACTTAAAGCTTCCTAGTTGAGAGTCATTCTTCCAAATCATTCCCGAATCACCTGAAAACCAAAACCGACGATTCACACAAGTC